TCTGTCCTCGCCTAACTCCCTATACACCTGGATTTATCAGACTCGGACAACATTGCTTAGGCCTTGTGGGCAAGGTTCAGGCTCACAGGTGTGCAGCCCCCAGCCCGGCATGGTGCTTAGACCAGGGACTGACCTCTCCTGAAACAGGATGTGGCTTATTCCTAGTCAACACGCAGGACCGTGCCTCAGGAGTACAGGACATGGGCAACCTTTCATCATCCAAAAGAAAGTACAGTGATACTTTGGTTCACGAATCCATTTGTGGACAATTTGGTTCACAACAGAAGTGTCTGGCAAAATTTTGCTTCCATTCTTGAGCCCCGTATTGGGTGATGGACACAACTGTGCTGGGTATCTCCCTTGCTCAGACACACGGTTGTGGCTTCCTCTAGTCGAGATCTCAGTCAAAGACAGACCTGTGAAGCTTTTTTGGGTATGTTTCAGCACATACAGCACTATAGTGTTTGTCAATCCAGCAAGGCTGCCAAGAAAGTGCAGAGCAAGCGCGGTGGTAAAAAGAAAGCACAGTACAGTGATGAGGGTGCCAAGAATGTGCAGAGCAAGAACGGTAAGGAGAAGGTTTTGAAAAAATAGCCACCGATTTGAGGATGGAGATTGTAGAAAAGCAACAGAGTGGTATTCATGTGACTGACTTGGCATCAGAGCACGCAATGGCGGTCAATGATTTTGGCAGCTTTGAAGAATAAAGATGCTACTGAGGAGAAATGTGGCAAAGGCGTAATGCTGTTAACCATGCAGAGGACACAAGTGCTGGAAGAGGTGGAGAAACTTTTGTTAGTGTGGCTGAATGAGAAACAGGTGATAGCGTTAGTGGAGCTATGATCTGTGAACAAAGCCAGGTCATCGCAGTGACTCACTGTGAGAAACCCACTATGAGTGCAGCAAGGGATGGATGTGAGCCAGTAGGGGGTGGTTTGCTAAATCCCACAAGAGAAGTGGCCTCCACGGAGTGGTGAGACGTGGTGAGCCTTCCAGTCTGACAAGGCCGGTGCAGAAGCCTACAGGAACTCATCAAGGCAGAAGGAGACATAAGCCAGCAAGTCCAGGGGCCTCTGGAAGAAGACAACAGAAGCTGTGTCCTGCAGTGGGAGAGCGAGCGGCAGAAGGTGCCTGCTGAGGAAGAGGACGGGGAGGAGGCTAGCAGGGATGCGACACAGTCCCTTGCGGAAAAGTGGAACAAGTGCCAGGGTGTGTGTGAGCAGCAGCAGCCCAACTGTGACGAGCGGAGCTGGGCCCGAAGAGCGCTAATGAGGCCTCATTTCCGGAGGGTTAGGCACTGCAGGAAGAAAGAAGTGATGCTGGACAGGTTTTCCGTCAACAGTGACCCTGCAGCTGAATGGCAGAGGAAAGGGGCCCCTGAAGGAGCCCTCCCTGTGTCCCAGGTACCGAGGGGAGGGGCCGCTCCCTCCGGAAGTGACCTTCCCACCCCTTCCTGTCCTCCACAAGTCGCCTCAAGCAAGGTCATGTTCCTTCTCTTCCTACTGTATTGTACTTTGTTTTCATTATTTTGTGGTTAAAAAAATATATCTGGGGGGCCCAGGATTTAGATCAGGTTTCGCCACCTGCTGCACAACTGCAAGGACCCGAGTTCGATCCCCGGTACCAAAAAAAAAAAAAAAAATCTGGAATGGGGTTGGTGGCTCATGCAAGTGATCCTAGCACTTAGGAGGCTGAGGCAGGAGGATCACTGTAAGTTCGAGGTGAGCCTGGGCTACATAGAGTTCAGAGCTAGTCTGAACTAACTACAAAGCAAGACTGTGTCTCAAAAAAAGAAACAAAAAAACCCATCTGGGCCGGGCACACCTGTAATCACAGCACTTGGGAGGCCGAGGCAGGAAGATTGCTGCAAGTTTGAGGTCAACCTGGGCTACATAGTAAGCTCAAGGCCAGTGTGAATTATAGAGCAAGACCCTATCTCAAAAAACCAAACTACAACTGGTTCAGAACAGACTAACCTTACTTACCTTGAACCCTATGGTAAATTTGATTCAGTTCATGACTACATTCGTAGGGGTCAGAACCGATTAACCATATTTACATGGAGCCTTATAAGGAAATTTGATTTGGTTCACACCCAATTCAGTTTGTGACCAGAATTGTGGAACAAATTAAGTTTGTGAACCGAGGTTCCATTATGGGGGCGGTCAATGAATAGGAGAACCTCAACAAGGGGGGTGGGAAATCTGCAAGATTCAAGGGTTCCCTCCAATAAGACCAGCAGGCTCCTGAGTCAGGTGCCTTCTCATGCCTGGCCTTAAGGTTAACGACAGCAGTCAGAGTTTCATCGAGAGACACATTTTTAAGATTTTTCTCCAGCAGTCTTACACACACACACACACACACACACACACACACACACACGCCCACGCCCATGTATGTGCACCAAATTAGACAGAGGTGAAAATGATTATCAAAAGAACTAAAAATACAACTTATGCTTTTTGTTTTTTGGAGACATGATCTGGCTATGCAGTTCAGGCTGGCCTTGAATTTGTAGCAATCCTCCTGCCTCAGCCTCCCAAGGGCTGGGATGACAAGTGTGCCCCATCACACCCAGTCAATTTATGCTCCTTGATTTATACAACTTCATTTCTCCACAAGGTCACAATTCTTCAGGCAGTGAAATTCAAACCACCTGGAAACTCTGGCTAAAAGTGGAGCCTCTTTGGAGAAACCAGTTCACATGCCAGTGCTGCCGAGTTCCTGCCGCTAGCTCTGCCCCTTCCTCACACCCTATGAAGTGCTCTGGGCAGCGCTGGTCACCTGTCTGGGGTGGTTTCCTGCCCTGCTGTCCTATGCTGCCCTTCAGATCCTCCTCCGCCCTGCTCTCTGAGACCACCTGCAAGCACGCAGGGAGAGGAACCCTGGCCAATGAAGGGCAGAGGCAGGAGCTGAAGGAAGGCTGCCCCACTGGGTGGATGGCTCCATAGAGCTCAGGGCCACGGCCAGACACTGTCACCCCTGCTGGCCCCCATGCCGGCTCACTAGAGGCTGGGTGGCGCTCAGCATGCAGGAAGTCCTGGGTGAATAAAATTAAAAGTGAAAAGAACTCAGCCAGTGGCCGCTGTCCCAAGTACCCAACTGGACCCTCACAGGTTCATGGGGAAGCTTCAGACGACCCCCCAGATGCCGCCACAGCTCACAGGAGGAGACACGATGCACAGACAAGTCTCGCCGGCTTTTTACAGGAAATCTCTCTACTAACTCAACAGCTTCCAGAGGATTCGTCTAGAATGTTCGTGGGGGAGCAGACCATACTGCACTGGAAGTGCAGCTGTAAAACTGTTTTCCTTTGAACCGTAACACCAAACCCCAAGATTTCCCTCTTTTTAAACTGTACCGGGTGGGATGGGCTCAGGACCCTCACACTGCGACATGGCCTCAGCCCTTTTTAACTTTTTCTTCTTCCTGATCCTTTTTTTTAAACTTCCCCTTTTTTGTTTTGTTTTTGGTAACAGAAGCTTGCACTTGTGAGGCAGGCGGTGGAACCACTGAGCTAAATCCCCGGCAAAGTTTCCCCTTTTTTGAGACAGGGTCTCTCTAAATTGCCTGGGCTGGGCTTGAACTCAGTCCTCCTGCTTCCGCCTCCCAAGCAGCAGGAACTGTAGGAGTGCACCACTGGACCTGGAAACACCAAGATTCCTTGACTGTATTTTAGTTTTTGGAGATAGCATCTCACTATGTAGCCCAAGCTGACCTCAAACTCTCGGCAATCCTGCCTCAGCCTCCCGTGTTGGGATTAACACGTGTGTGCCACCACCCAGCTGGTGGATACCTTAAAGTTTTGTGTGGAAATAGCTTCTCTGGCCACTGGGAAGAAGTGGGAGGCAGCAGGACTACAGCACTTTACTTATAACTGTCCCTACTGGGAGTCACTTCTGACAGGAGAAACGCTCTCTTTTCCTCTGAAGATCCAACTGCCATCGATTGCCAGCACACAGAAGGGTCTCTGCCGTCCAGGCGAATGGACATGGCCAGGCAGGATGTCTTCCCTGACTTGTTCACAGGAATTCTCCCTGCAGATGGAGGGAGAGCACACGCTGTTTACCGCTAAGGGAGAGGCAGCAGGGCCAGAGACTGGGTCCCGATTCACTGTAGGATGGATGACATCCTCTGCTGGAGGTCTCTTCTGCCTGGTGACACTTCCCTCTCCCCAGCAGTCCTGTCCCAGGTCCGGGTCCTCACTGCAGCCCAGAGCTCAGCAGCAGCTGGTTCCATGGTGTGACAGGAAGCCCTCTAGACTGAATCCAAATCTGAGTGGGGCTTGCAGGGTTTTCTCCTCCCACTTTTCATCTACACAATTCAGTCCCCAGCCTCCATGCACACAAAGCAGGTGCTTCTGTGTCCAACAGCACTCTGGGCTGGCTGTCTCTGTCCTGTGGGTCCAGTCGGCCCTCCCCTCTCCTCTGCCTGGTCCAGGGCCCCAGCTGGGGTCTGCTCCTCTGGGTGCCACTTGGGTGTGAGGAAGCTTGCTGTCACCTGACACTGGGGGGCCCTCCCTCCCCCCACAGGGACTTGTCTTAACCTGAGGTGTGACTGCCAAGCATGCGAGCACCCACTCCTCACTGATCACAATTTTTTTTTTTTTTTTGCTACCGGGGATTGAACTTGGGACCTTGCGCTTTTGAGGCAGGCACTGGAACCGCTGAGCTAAATCCCTGGCCCCACAATTTTTTTTTTTTGTACCAGGGATTAAACTCAGGACCTTGCGCTTGCAAGGCAGGTGGCAGCACCACTGAGCTAAGTCCCTGGCCCTACTGACCACAATTTTCAAGTGGCACTGGGGACTGAACCCAGTTTTTTTGCACTGAGCTACATACATTGATCATTTTATTTTACTGATGACTTTTTCAATCCCCAGCCCAACCATTTTATTTTAATGTTGAGACATGGTCTTGTTAAATGGCTAAACTGCTCAGGTTGGGAGTATAGGCCTTTACCGTGCACTGGCCTCAATACCTCATAAAAACCCTTGCCCATTTTCGGGCCAAATATAATTTGTATTTCAGGGTAAGTAAGATTTTCAGCCCTTGCACATGTTCTCTGTTTCAAAACACATGCTCTCACTCAGAAATGTCCTTGCTGGCCCTGGTGGCACACGCCTATAATCCCAGCTCTCAAGAGGCTGAGGCAGGAGGATCACTCCAAGTTCAAGGCGAGCCTGAATTACACAGCAAGACCTTGTCTCAAAACACTGGAAAAAAAAAAAAGTTTCCCCTTGTATCCCAAAGTGACACTAAGGTCTGTGCAGCACAGACTCTCAATTTTTGAACATCAAAGCCGAGTGTTATTTGCTTTGACAAATGTTGAGAGATTGGGAAAAACCCAAATGGTGTGTGCACAGACAGCGTGGAATTACAAGTGCTGGCCTGTTTCATGGCGGAGTGAGGGCCACACGACCATGTACACATGGGAGACCACAGGACGCCCTCCGAGTGACGACCCCTAACAGCTCGCCCTGCCTGGCCCCAAGCTGGTGCCAAACAGAAGCAGTGGCTCCAGTGCAGGACCGAGGGCCCTCACTCAGGAAGGGCAGCAGGTCCCAGCTCTCAGGCCAGCATACGCATGACTGAGACCTCGGCTCTGCCTCGGGCCCCGAGTAGCAGAGGGCAGTGGCCATCGGGGGGCAGCCCGGGTGCGAGTGGGACAGGAACCTGAGCTCGTCCACCCACTTCTGCCCTGGCCGGCAGACACCGACCCCGTCATCCGGCTGCGCACTGCTCCCAGCAGGCCCTGCCCCTGACCAGCTGCTCACACCAAGGGGTCAGAGTAGAGGAAGAGAGCCTCTCCCCACTGCCCTGGGTCGTGCACACTGCTGTTGCCGGCCTGGTGGACATCAGCAAGAGCAGGCAGACACCTCCTCAAAGCTGCACAGAGGGCCTCACGGGGCTGCCAGTGTGGACTTCGCCCGGCTCGCTCCACTTCACTCTCTGCAACTGTTTATTTCACATCACTTACTTTGGGGATTAACTCCTGACTCCATAAGATTGAAAGCAAAAAAAGGATGCAGTTTAACACGTCCAGGCACCACCCACATAGGTGCAGGCGCGGAAGAGGATGGCACACTGGTTACACGCAGTGCCCCAGGGGGAGCACAGGGTCCTGTGGAATCTGTCGCCGGCAGCCAGTTTTGTTGGTGGGTACACTGCTGCCTCCTTTCAAGGTGAGCCCACACCAGCAGGGCAGGGGCAGGAGGGCGCCATCTCGGCACAAGAGGCCGGGGTGAGGGGCGGCCCCTCCAACATCGTCAGATGGGGCCTCCCATTCCCTGCTCCCGACCTTCGCTGAGACCAAGGGGCGGCTAGGCTTCTCCCGGCCCTGTCCAGGGCTCCAGCGGGTGCCCTCAGTGTGTGACTCCTGTCAGGCCCTGTCCCTGCCGTGAGGTGGGGTGGGCCCACCTCAAAGCCTGGATGCCCAGGGCCACCCTGAGGCCATGGCCACCAGTGCCCACAGGGCCCGAGTGGCAGAGTGGCTCCAGGCGGGTGTGACGGCGGGCATGGCCATGGCTGCCTGAACTTACAGGTCTCAGAGCTGCGTGAGAGCAAAGGAGCACCCTGGGCAGGCCTGTCCGGTGGACCCGAGCCAGGCCCCGCGGCCCAGGCCGCAGCCCAGCCCCTGCTTCTCTAGCAAGGACTGAGGCGTGAGCGTGGTCATCGGCTTCAGCTCTTCCCAGGACACCTGGGGTTTTTGGAATCTAGGTGACGGTAGTGTGTCTCTGTCCTCACTCTTGGGGATTTCCTGTCTTACGATAAAGGGACACTTAGGCCGGGGAGCTCGTCCCCCGAAACCACTCACGATGAAGACAGCAGCAGCTGGCGCTGTGTGTCGGGGCGGAGAGCTGGAGACTGACCGGAGCTGCCCACTGTGCTTCCAGAAGGGCCGGCCCCCAGGCGGCGTGGTCCTCTCCCCACACAGCCCGCCCTGCCCCGTCACCACTTCATGTCCAGGGCGGCTGTGCAGCGCTCCGGGCTCTGGTAGGAGGTATGCAGGGCCTCCTGGGCTTTGAGGGAGTCAGTGCCCTCCAGCCACTCCTGGTACAGCTCCTGCACATGAGCGCTGGACTCGGGGGGCTGCACGGGGATGTCTGCATAGATGCCCTCCATCTGGCGCAGCACGAACTTGTCTGTGTGTCCGTGCTCCGTCTGCGCCTGGCCTCTGCCGTTTAAGCACCCTAAAGACACACACAGGGGAACGGTCTCAGGAGGCTTCACTCAGAGGGGACAGTGCTGGAGCAGGAGGGAAGGAAGGGAAGTGAGCCTTGGGGCCAGCCTGGAGCTGGGCTCTCACACGCCACAGGCCAGCGTGCCTCTTCCTGGCACCCATGAAGGGGCAAACCAGTCCCTATTTCTCCTTAAACCTTTTGGAACTGGGCAGCTTGGCCTGGAAGTCCGGGTTCCTGCCCTCCCTAGGAATTCTCCATGCCAGGAGAGTGCAGGGTGTTACCGACCAGGTGCGGCCTCTTGGTCCCTGAGCAGCCCCGTGTGGACGGGCGAGCCCGGGGACTCCGGGAGCTCCGAGCAGACCAGCCTCCTCCGGGCCAGTGCTTCCTCTCCGATGTGCAGACGCCGCCTCCTCCCGTGTGCCCCACTCAGCCCCTGGCAGTCTCCTCCACAAGATCCTTGGGCGACAGGCCCAGGACGCAGCATCTCCTGCCTGCAGTGCCTGTCTGTCCCCGAGTTTCCACTCACTTCTCATCTCTCTCCACACTCACAGGGATACGCTGCCCCCACTAGAGGTGAGGATAAGCAGCAGGGATGGGGCGCCTTCCCTGAGCCCCCCATGCCACCGCAGGCCTCCAGCCGGCTCTCCTTTTCCCCCGCTACACCTCACCTGCCTGGGTCACCACAGCCTGCGACGGTCCCACCCCCCTCCTGCAGCACCGGAGCCGCGGTCGGGTTGTGCCCCTTCTGCCGCCTCCTCTCACAGGGTCCCCAGGCCTGGCTCCGGCCAGTGTCCCGTTCCTGCCTTGACAAGCGCTCCTGGCCAGGCTTGCCTGGCACCACACAGGCCTCCTCGTGGCGCATCCCCAAGGGAACGCCTGGGGCCTGTCCACCTGTCCACGCTTCACACCTCAGGACTGGGAGGGAACTGAGTGGTCCAGGACATCTCCTACCAGCTCAAGAGTGCGCCCAGCCTGCAGGGCTGCCAACACGCTTACCGCCAGGACATGCGAGGACCTCCACAAAATGGTACGGGAACTTGCCCTTCCTGAGCTTCAGGACCAGGTTCTGGACATTCCGAAACCCGTACGCAGCAGCAAAGCGCAGCAGAACCTCTCCGTTCTTTTCAAGGGTGACCTCCTGGAAGTCTTTATTCCTGTAAAATGAACAACAAGGATGCTGGCTGTTGAGTCCTCCAGGACTTGAGCACCATCTCAGTCTAAGCTGGAATGTCAGCAAGATAGGGTTGGTGGGGAATGCTGAAGGCTGGGTGTGGACTCCCAGGAGAGCCTCCACACAGGCCACACCCACGCCATCCTCAGCACCTCAGGGCGCAGTAGGTGATCTCCTCCACGTGCTCGTTGAATAGCTCCTTTGCTGCGTGTCGGAAGACGTGTGCCAGGTGCCCATCTGAGCCAGTGCCATCATGGCGCCTCACCACTGCCTCCTTCGCATCTCTGAACCTGGCAGGCGGGAGAAGGCAAGCCCTCTGCTGATGTAAGGAGGAACCCAGACTCCAAAGTATCAGGTCTGAGGGGGCCACTCAAAGCGCTATAGCCTTACAATTACTTAAACTGTGAGGAAAACTGCCCTGAGGTTTACTTAACAACATGAAATTCTATTGTGTGTCTCACCTGAGCCTGCAGGCAAGGTCATACTCACTGCTGGTTCATTAATCACTCTCCTTGTCCAGCTACATGGGTCTAGGGGACAGGACTGCACGTCTGGTATAACGTGAGTGGGGCTGCATGGCCCAGGCCAGCGTGAGTACTCCTGGTGTCTGGGGCAGGCAGCCCTAGCCACAAGAACCCAGTTACTGAATTTCTGTGGACTTCAGTCCCCTCCTAGAGAAGGGCAGAAATGCAGCCCAGCCCAGTGTTACGAGGAGGAAGTGCAGGCGGCAGCACAGTGCTCTCTGCATGGCACCCAGGTGCAGCTGAGTCACAGTCCTTTCAGAACATCAGGGTTCCTCTGTGGAGCAGAGCCCAGGGGCTGAGGGAACCGCAGAACTGGATGCTGGGACACAGGACGCTGGTGAGTGAGCCGCAGCCCTGCCCCACACGGTGTCTTCACTGCCATCACAGAGGGGACGCCCACTGAGCCCCTGGCAGCTCTGGTGAAAGGTGTCCCCTCCAGGTCAAGACCACATCCACTCAAAAGCCACAAAGCTAACTGTGGGTTGTGGTGGGGCCATGAGGGGACAATGTGGTTGGATCACAAAGAAAGGCAGCCCTGGGACTAGCAGGTGGTCCAAGGGCTCACAGGAGGCCCAGACTGCCAGAGGACCCCTGCAGAAACCACTTACAGAGTGTCCACAGCAGCGTCCTTCACCGAGAGGTCACTCTGCTCCATCATCTGAGTGATCTCACCTGGAGATGTAAGAGGCATGAAGACTGTGGATGGGTGGCCCGTGTTCTTCTCCCCGGGAGGACATTCTACACTAGTGACTGGGGACACCTTCCCTGCTATGTGCAACCTCCACCGATAAAAGGAAAAGCACCAATGAAATCTAAGAACAGAATCCCTCCTTCAGCCCTGAACTACAAGCAAGTACTCCATGTCGTTTCCAAGGGTAAATCTTTCGTGTCTGACCCAAACATGCTGTGCTTGTGTGACACAGTCACTGTGCAACCAGATCAGCTGAGAGCCCCGAGCCAAAAGTGCTTTCCAACACCAGAGACACAGAACCTGCTGGAGGCTCTAAAAATAACATCTGAAAAGTGCCAGTGCTGTGTGGCTGACAGCAATGTCACAGGGGCAGATGTGTTGTTTTCACTTTACTCTGAATGTAAAAGGTGCTCTCGTGTCGTGGTTAGGAGACCTACAGTCACACGTGACTCTCTGCCCAGGGATATCATGTTCATGGGCTGTAGTCCAGGCCAGCTGCCACGTGGTTCTGGGAGGTGCCTATTTGGAGGAAGACGCTGCACAGTGTCATCCTTCCCTACTTGCAGGACATTAGACCTAAGGACCCTCGGCTGTCCCTGTACAGATGGCTCATTGTGGAGCTGCTGCTCAGCCAGCTGGGAGCCCTTGCCAGTGTCAAGGCCTCGCTGCCCATCTCTCACCTGAGGTCAGCACACAGTCGGTGCCCTGGGCGCCAGGCAAAGCAGTGGAGAATCCCTCCTGAAGAGCCTCCAGCTTCTTGTCATAGCAAGGGGCCACGACAACATGAAAAATCTTCTCTGGAGGCAGGTTCTGTGGAGCAGAGCATGGCATCCTTGGGGCCAGAGCGGAAGCAACCAGGGCAGCTTCTAGTTGGTGCCCAGGGCAGGAGGCCATGAGGGACTGCAGAGTGCCACCCCTCGCCCCACCCCACCCACCTCTAATAGCACTGCCTCTTGACAGCCAGGCAGGGCTCCCTTTTTCCACACACCACACCGAGTGCACTCGTGTGTGCTGCCTGACTCCAGGTAGCTGTACTAAGGGCCCACCTGCCCAGGAGCTTCCCAGGAAGGACTGCATGCCCCTGGGAGCCAGAGCCCTTTTTCTTTTGAGCCAAGCACACAAGGGTAAATAAAACAGGCAGGCGCAGGTGTGTGCTCTCCCCGGTGTACCTGCCGACTTTCTTGAAGTTGCTCAAGTGACAGCTTCCCAGGCTGGCCCTCTCAGGGGGCCACGCTAAGACAACCAGGTGTCCGGGGCTGAGCCACAGTTGGGGAAAGCAGGAGCCAGCAGTGACCCAGGGGCCCTTGCAGCAAGGCCTGGATGGAAAGCCCCACTAAGCTCGGGGCTGAGTCCCCAGGGAAACCTGCCTAGAGACAGCCCTGTGAGGGGCTGTGAGGGGATTAGGCAGAGGAGGCCTGAGGCCAGGCCTGGGCTCACTGCCCCTGGCAGCACCTACAAGAGGCCCTAGAGCTCTGGGTTCCAGCAGGGAAAGGCAGGCAAGGGCAGGGTGATGTCTCCCCACCAGCTCAGCACGCACACCTTGACAACACGTTTGTCATCTGCTAATGTTGGTGACTTTGTAAGCTAAGCAGGAAAGAAGAAAACATTCCCTGTGTTAAAATGACAAGGCTTCCCATATGTGTGGCTCCTTCAGGGTGGCTTCAGCATTTAGAGATCCTTGCTTCTGCTGTCTTCTCTAGTCACCACCAGATATGCTCCTCTGAAGGGGGAAGGACAGCGTGGAAGCTGCAGTAGCCAACTAGGGCCTGGGCTGCCGAAGGCTGTGGGCAGAAGGGGACAGGGTTCTCGGGCGTGGGCAGGAACCCAGGCTGGATCCCACTCTGAAAATCACATGGAAGACAGGGCCAAGTCTCGGGCATAATTGCATGGAAGTCGCTAAGGGTAGTACCCGTGGTCTGAGGGGAAGGTGGGTGACACTGGGTTCCCCAGGGATGGGAGCCCAGGACACAGGAGCAGGCAGCAGCATCTCTGGAGGTGGCTGGGCCTTCCTCTCTCACTAAGGGGGCACTGTTTCTACTCTGGGTAGAGGGGTCCAGGAGAAAAGGTGAAGGCGAAAGGCCAAGACGACGACAGTGAGAAATGGAGGGTGTGGCTGAGAAGCACTGCAGGCTCAGGTCTGCAAGCCAAAACTGCCGAGTTCACCCTGGATGCCGAGACATCTCCTGCCCCGAACTTCCCTCTTAAGATCAGCTTACCTGCTGTTTGGCGAAGTAATCCTTCACTAAGGAGCCCATGACCTGCTGCGGGGATTTGGCGGTACACAGGTGGGGGGTGACAGGGTGGCCCAGCACCCGCTCGGCATAGCGGACCCAGCCTGGGGAGAGAGCCCACAAGGTCAGCACCCCTGCCTGTCAGCAGCGGCCCGCTGCACCTGAGCCTGTTCCCTGAAGACCGTCCTGACCTATCACTCCTCCTCGGTGGGCCCAGGGAATCAGCAAGGCTCAAGGTTGCTGGGAAATGGGAGTGCCTGGCAGGCCCCAGAGGGAAAGCACTGAATGAGAGAAATGGGAGAGTCGGGGCAGCAGGTCCCCCAAGAGGGAAAGAGGACAATCTTCAAGGAGGACCAGGGAAGCGGCTAGCAGGTTAGCACTGCGAAATCCACCACCGTGAGGTTCCTGACGCCAAGACAAGCAGCTGCAGCTCAGGTGGGCAACAGAAACTACAAGTTGACAGAACTTTGCTAATCTGCCAGAAAGAGCCTTGTGAAAAGTAACATACTGGCACGCCCCAAGGAAACTCCACCATCAAACGTGCACTGTGCTCCCTTCCCCTCTGCGGCCCTCCCAAGGGCTGCCCTGGTCAGGAGGCCATGGCAGGACCAGGGCTCGGCCCTCAGCTGCCAGCCAGGGAGAGGAGGCAGTGAGTAGCCTGAGCAAGCCTGCTGGCCCAGCCTAGCGACACACATGCACATGAGAACTCCACAGCGTGAGCAGAGGGCAGTGGACCCTGGAGCGAGCTTCTGCTGGGAGTGCGCTGCAGACAGACCCCAAGTGGGAAAAACCCTAGGCACCAGTGAGCGCCTCAAGCCCACTGGAGCAACAAAACTGCCAAGCCCCCGTGTCACTGTACACCGCCAAACGCTATGAAGACGCCTGGTGCCAGGGGCCCTTCAAGGCGCTGCAGGGAGCCGGGTGTCCCCTCAGCCCCGCTCTGTGCTCAGGGGCTTTCGAAGGGAAACTCAGGTCACCGGGCCCTGATCTCACTACACAGCACAAGTCTCTGCCGCCAGCAGACCTGGACACAGGCGCTGGAGGACCGCAGCCATGAGCCTGCCATGGGCTGAGTGAAGACTAAGTAGCCTTGGGCACTGTGCAGGATCAGGCAATATAGAGAGGTGGAACAAAAAACCCAAACTCAAATCCAAAACAACAAAAAAGCCAAGCACGTGGTGCACGCCTGTAACCTCACCACTCGGTAGGCCGAGGCAGGAGAATCCCTACAAACTGAAGACTAGCTGGACCCTGTCTCAAAAAACAAAAAAACCCTTCTCAAAACAGAGAGGTCAGTGCCAGGCCCAAGGAGGATGGCCGCTGGCCACTGCAGCTGAGACCAGACAGCAGGGACACGGGCGTCAGTGAGAAGTCCAGGTCCTCGGGGCTTGTAAGTGCCTCACTCGAGGCCGACAGCAGACAGCTCACCTTGTCTCCAGTGCTGGAGACGGAGCCCAGGCAGTGCTGAGAGACATGCCCAGCCCCCACCATTTTTTTTTGTTCTTAGACAGCATCTGTGTAATCCAGGCTGGGCTTAAACTCACAGCAGTCCTCCTGCCTCAGCCTCCTAAGTGCTGGGATTACAGGTGTGCATCACAATGCTGGGCTTCCCAACTTTCTTAAATACATTTTGAGACAGGGCCTTGTTAAATCGCTCTAGTTAACCTCAAACTTGCAACCCTCCTGCCTCAGCCTCCTGAGTAGCAGAGATGACTGGCGTGCACCACCATGCCTGGTGTTCTTTATCAGATTTTGTTACTGAGCACCTGCCATGAACAAAGACTCTGGGCCCATGCCCTGATCAGCCCACTGGTGCCCTGGAGACCCTGCCCATCAGAATGAAGAAGTGCTGCCTCAGGCATAGCAGCACCAGTATATCAGGAGCACCCTCCAGGGGGCTGTGGCACAAAACATCCACCCACCACTCCTTGGAGTGACCCCTCCTGAAGAATAAGGTGTTCAGAGTAAGTGGCCTGGCTCGAGGCACTCAGCCTGCCCTGAGCTCTACACTGGGTTGAAGAGATGATGCCCCATAATTCTGCTTCGGTAGCACCCTTGGCAGGAGGCCACCCTGGGATCCTGAGAGCCTCACAGGCCTCAGAGCTAGGCCTGGAAACCATGCTCGTCTTCCTGCCTCTGCTGGGCACTGCAAAAAGTTGAAGCCCAGCAGAATGGCACCCTGGGTCTGTGAGAACTAGAAGTCAAGAGAAACTGCAGGCTGTCTGAGCTGCTCATTAACAAGTCCCCAGGAGGTGCTGCAGGCAGCTGTGGGCCCTGAGCCAGGGAGCCAGCACATGGCCACCAGAGGTCCCAGCTCCGAGGTGCAGCTTCCCAGCCAGCAGCATGAAGGCGGCTGACTTGGGGCTGCTCCAGTTATCTCACCTGTCAGCAACAGAGCACGGTAAAGCTTTAGCTCTGAACCAGACGCCGGCGTTCTCTCCCTAACTTGGGTGTGGTACAACTCCCAGCCAGAGCCATAGTTTGGCACCTCAGGAAAACTCTGTTTACCCAGGAAGGAGGCCCTGAAAGGCAGCCAGTCTCGAGCTACAGCAGGCAGGACCAGTAGCAACGCGCTGGTCTGCAGCAGGCGACTAGGGACAGAGCTCAGGGACACATGCCCAGAGACACTGCCCCGCATGTCCCCACCCAGCTCTGCTGCTGCCACGGGGGAGGGCTTGAGGCGTTCCACAGATCAAAGACACGTGTCTGCTTTTCCAGTGAAGTGAGAGCGCTCCATCCTCGCTTCCCCTAGCAGGACCCGCACACAAGGAACAGGAAGTCTTTGCTTAGGGAGCGCCTGCGCTGCCCTGCTGACTGGAGCCACAAGGTGGACACCAGGATTAGAGCTGGTCATGCCATCAAGCTGCCTCTCCCTCCAATGAGGGGCGGATCTGACAGACACAGCCTGTGCTAAGCAGCACACTGCCTGTGGCATCATGTGATGCCTGGAAAGGTTCTCTAGCTGGTTGTGGTGGAGCAGCATACAGCTGCAATCCCAGCACGTAGGAAGCTGAGAGGCAGGAGATCACTGTGAGTTCAAGGCCAGCCTGGACCACACAGTGAGACCCTGCCTCAAAAAAAAAAAAGGTGCTCAAGGGAGCCAGAGATGCAGGAGCCCAGGCGTGTTCCCAGTTCTCAGCTGTGGTGGTTAAGCCTCTGTACCTGCAAAATCACCCAGGATGACAGAGGGCTGAATCGGACCCCCGAGACCCAGCCAGTTCCTAACCCTAACACCTCTCCCGGAGATAAGGTCTGGCTATGTTATCAGGTTGGTGTTGAACTTGGGGCTCAGGGGCCTCTCCTGCCTAGACCTCCTGAGTAGCTGGAGCCACAGGTCCACGGCCCCACACCCACCTTAGACTTCTGACGTAAAGGTCTGTGAATCCCAACTCGAAACAAACCACGAACCTGGAACTCATCACTAACACTGCCCAACCAAGGAGCCCGAGATGGGGTGAAGTACACCCTGATTAATGAGTTAAGCAGCACATCCTTGTGGAGAGAGGGAGAATTTTCTCATGGTTTTATAAATGGATAGGAAGCATTTCCAAATTCTTTTTTTTTTTTTTGTACCGGGGATCGAACTCAGGACCTTGCACTTGCAAAGCAGGCACAGCACCGAGCTACAGCCCCAGCCCAGCATTTCCAAATTCTAGGCAACCACATCAACATTTTATTTTATGAAATCATGATCCTCATGATTAAAGGTCACGTGTATAATGCTGGAAAAATGTGAAACCACGGTGGGGAAGGAGGTTGACTGAGAATAGAAACACAAACAAAACCCTGAACACCGCAGAGCCCACGGCTAGCACAGGCTGCCAGCTATCCTGCACCCTCGGACCTGGGTATGCAGAGCAATCTGAGTGAGCATCATTCGTTGGGACACCAATTCCTTCCTTCCTTCCTCCCTTACGCACTGACCTAAAAATTTTCCTTAATCCCAAACCTTCCATTTTTCCCAGAATTGAAGAGTCTGTGATACTTATTTTCTACCGGATATGATTTGAATGTCCCCATCAAAACTGACGTTGAAATTTGATCCCCACCGTGGGATGCTGAAGGTGGACTCTAATCCAACTATGATGTTTGGAAATCATCTCGGCCAGAGATGGCGAACCTGTGGCAGGAGCGTTGTTTTTCCTTAAGACAAAAGATGTTGGTGTATGAGTTGCTTTTTTTGAAACTAAAACCTCAGTGTTCAGGTTTAGCTGCAGTGTTGGCACTCTGAGATAAGTAAGTGGGTTTTGGGTTGCAGTTTGGGCATCACTGGTCTAAGCTAAAGGAGGCCATAGGAACGGGCCTGGGCCATGGGTCTGCAGTTTTTTAAAGCAGAGTGGAGGTCTGAGCTAAGACGCTCTGCCTTGCCTTGTGGAGTCCATGCTGCCGTGTGGCTGCAGAGCCCCACCAGCAAGGAGCTCCCAGGTGAGGCTGCAGAACCTCCTTCTTCCCAGCCTTCTCAGCTGTGAGCCTTTACTCTTGGCTGGAGGCGGTGGTTCCTGTGTGTAACCTGCACTCAGGAGTCTGAGGCAGCAAGATCACTGCTAGCTTGAGGCTAGCCTGGGGTATAGAGTGAGTTCAAAACCAGTGTGAACTTCATAGTGAAATCCTGCTTCAAAAAGAACACTGGGAGGGCCGGGGATTTAGCTCAGTGGTTTCGCTGCCTGCTGCACAAGCACAAGGACCCAAGTTCGATCCCCGGTACAAAAAAAAAAAAAAAAAAAAAAAGACCACCAGGTGTGGTGGTGCACGCCTCTAGTCTCAGCTCTGGGGAGGCTGAGGAAGGAGGATCATTATGCATTTGAGGCCAGCCTGGGATACACAGTGTCAAGGCCAGCCTGGACTATATAGGGAGACCCTGCCTCAAAAAACCAAAGCAAAACAAAAAACAACAAACATCTTTGTAAGTTATTCAGAGTGCATTACCCAGTTATTTCAAAAGAAAAACCTCAGGAACTAACTAAAACTAAAGAGTGATGTAGTCAAGTTTAAAAATAGGGTGTGTAGTTTGTAATAGCTAAAACTTGGAAACAGCCCAAATGCCCATCAACTGGAGACTGGATAAAGAAAATGTGGTTTTTTTGTAAAATGGAGTAGTACTCAGCTATAAAAAATGAGAAATTAGAGACATTTATAGCTAAGTGGATGCACATCGAGGCGATACTCTTAAGTGAAATCAATAGGACAC